CTTATCTCAAATAAATAAACCAACACCAGACACTCTTGTCACCCCCCCCTCCCCCCCTTCCCACGCTCGCTGGCTACCTCCCTCCTTGTGTTCCCAGACAAAAGATTGGTGATACCTTTATGCTTTAAGGCATTTATTTTATATAATATCTCAGACTAAAGTTAGGAGATTATAATTTGCATTGCTGGAATCTTTACAAGACAGCCAATAATCTTAATATAAACTTCATATATTTTGCTCAAGATATAAAAATTGTAGTACATTAGTGTACAATACTGTAGTACATTTTATAATATAAAGTTTTTCAATTGTAAATTTTGGGTAGATTTACATAAATTTCTTCATTTATTTTCATCCATTTATATGCACACACCATTATAAAAGAAACGTAAAAGAAATAAATGACCTTAGTGCAAAGTTGGATTGCACATGTACTAATTTGATTATGGTACTAAAATTGTTATGGCTAGTGCGAATTACAGCATGTTTATATTCAAATTAATCTGTATCTTATTATCTTACAAGAATCCCAGCTATGTTAATTATATTCTCCCAGGTCATATCACTGGCATTTTAAAATGAGAGAAGCTTAGTCACTTAGAACTGATAAATATACGCATTATGTCATGATCGTGATAATGGCTGACCTGAAAACCTTAAGGATTCATATTACGCTCAAGCGTCCACAAAACCTTCTGAGTCCCCAGTGGAAGCGCCCCGTTTTCTCTGTTTCCCGTCTTTGTTTGTAGGGAACTTTGAATATAATCCAGTTTAGGAGCAGGCGCTGTATGTTGGGACCTGTTGCCATCAACCCTTTGTAATCAATTTAATTTTGCTTTTGATAGCTGAGTCAGAGCATTGTTAGTGAAGATAATAGTAGGGAATGAAACTGAGTTTATAGTCTCAGTTTCAACGTCAAGGATGTACAGTAAATTAATTCATCGGAATAGAAGTAGGTGGACTCCCTGGCCTATTTTGAGTGAGGGCCCCGTGGGCATTTCACCGTTAGTGAGTGCCGTCCTTCATCCATACAGATCCCACCGCTGCCACCATTTATGAGGGCCTGAGCTGCCACCATTTATGAGGGCCCCTACTGCCACCATTTATGAGGGCCACTACTGCCACCATTTATGAGGGCCTAGTACTAGATTTCGTCTGTTGGTACAAATAAATTCTTTCTCCTAATTTCATATTAATGTTTAAATAAATTTTGTATTTGTATATTGTGTCTATTATTTACCTACAGTATTTACCGTTATTTCTTCCCTATTGCTTGATACTATCATTACATACCCACGAGCCTCCTCTCGTCACGCTACCAATGGTAATAAGTATGAGAGTAAAAGGAATTGTTACTGGCACACAGAGGCCCTCATAAATGGTGGCAGTAGTGGCCCTCATAAATGGTGGCAGTAGGGGCCCCTCATAAATGGTGGCAGCTCAGGCCCTCATAATTAGACCTGGGCCTGTGCCAACTGTCAAACCACCCACGCCCCCTCGCTCCCTCTCTCTCCCCCACCTGCCCGGTGTTGCTGGAATCCTTGTAAAACAGTGAATATTTTTAATATAAACGTCATGTATTTTGCACAAGAGATAAAAATTAATCACCAGTATCACATTACAGTAGTGATTTAAGAGTAAAAGTGTATATGTACGTATATAGTATTCCACATACACGTAAGTATAAATACAAAGTTTCTGTGATGATCGGACAACGTCCATTTCGGTTAACGTCATGTTTCCAAGAATGTATCTAGGACATTAACCGGCGCATGACTGCATACATTTTTTGCCCCTAGGCCTCTATGTAGGTCAGTGATCTGTGCCCGGGTGGGCTAATCCCTGTACAAAAAATAAAAATAAAAAAATAAAAAATGCGGCCACTCTCTTTTCTGCGCTCGCCTCTCATTCCTGTGCCAGTTTCATGTGGTGTGTGAAGGTTGTTGCCGGTCTTGTGCTACTGTTCTAGTGCGTTAAGGAACTTAGCTTGAAAATGCCAAGATTAAACCCCTTTTATTTATATACATCTATGAAGCATTTCTTTCACAGTAATACAGGCTGACAAACCCTTTATCCGAATTCCGAAAAACCAAAAAGCTCTGAAAACTGAGTTTTTTTTTTAGGTGCCAATTTTTTTTTTTTTTTTTTTTACAGGGATTAACCCACCTGGGCACAGAACACTGACCCACATCAGGGCCTGGGGGGCGAAAATGTAATAGTAATAATAATTATAATAATTATTCATAGTAAATAAAAATTTTAATTAAAATACACCAAAATGAAGTAATAATGATAACAATAATAATAATAATAATAATAATAATAATAATAATAATAACAATATTACTATAATAATAAAATAATAATAATAATAATAATAATAATAATAATAAAGAAATACAAGAATGAAAAAAAGATCAAAAGTGAGAAACATGACCTAGACCTATGAATTATTATTATTATTATAATTTGTATTATTTTTTGCCCCTAGACCCTGATGTGAGTCAGTGATCTATGCCTGGGTGAGCTAATACACGTTAAAAAAAAAAATCTAACCAATCTGAAAACCGAAAAATTCCGAAATCCGAAATGCCCCTGGCCCCAAGGATTTCGGATAAGGGATTGTCAACCTGTACTGTCAAATTGAACTGTGTTTGTGTGCCAAGTCTGTTGTATATGACGTATTTCAAAACTCTCCACCGCCTGGGCTGGATCAAAGCCGATGCTTTCATGTCAACAAAAAAACGTAAAATTATACCATATCATAGTAAGTTATTTTTTTTAATATACCATATCATAGTAAGTTCTTTCTGTTTAATATACCATATCATAGTACGTTTTTTCTGTTTATTATACCATATCATAGTAAGTTCTTTCTGTTTAATACACCATATCATAGTATGTTCTTTCTGTTTAATATACCATATCATAGTAAGTTCTTTCTGTTTAATATACCATATCATAGTAAGTTCTTTCTGTTTAATATACCATATCATAGTAAGTTCTTTCTGTTTAATATACCATATCATAGTAAGTTCTTTCTGTTTAATACACCATATCATAGTAAGTTCTTTCTGTTTAATATACCATATCATAGTAAGTTCTTTCTGTTTAATATACCATATCATAGTAAGTTCTTTCTGTTTAATACACCATATCATAGTAAGTTCTTTCTGTTTAATATACCATATCATAGTAAGTTCTTTCTTTTTAATATACCATATCATAGTAAGTTCTTTCTGTTTGAAATACTGGGGGTCCAGGTAAGGAAGCTAGCTAAGGTTAGGTAGGTTACGTTAGGTTAAGTTAGGTTTAATTTAGAAATACAGTGGGGTATGCTATAACGAACGGACCCTACTACGAATATTCCTATAATGAACGGTTTTACCTATAAAATTGAGAATGCTATAACGAACGCAACTCCTACAACGAACGCGGATGAATACGGGACTAATTCGTCTGGCGCATGAATATTGTTGTACCGCGACCCACAACAAGAGCGTCAGGCACCATATTTGTCTCATTGTGTAGCCAGTGCACCACTGTTATTGTTGAAATTTCGTCTTTTGATGTGGAAATAGAGTAATTTGTATAAATATTTTGTTATACAAGTGTACAATTGTAAAAATGAATCGTCCAAAGCGAGTGAGAAAGCTCATAACTCTTGAAACTAAGAAAGAAATCATAAAGAAACGTGAGAATGGAACAAGCATTGCGAAACTTAGTGATGAGTATAGGATGGCTAAATCGACTATATGTACGATTTTGAAGAATAAAGAGGATTTGAAAACTGTGCAAGTGGCTAAAGGAATCTCTAGACTTAGCAAAGCAAGGTGTAATGTGATTGAGGAGACAGAAAATTTACTCTTAGTGTGGATAAAGAAGAAAGAAATTGCAGGTGATAGCATTAGTGAAGCTATAATTTGTGAGAAGGCCAGACAATTGTTTGAGGACCTTAAAGCCAAGACTCCCAGTGAAAGTGATAGTGATGTGCCAGTGTTTAGGGGTACCAAGGGGTGGTTTACTGGTTTCAGAAGGAGAAATAAATTACATAGTGTTGTGAGACATGGTGATGCTGCTAGTGCAGATAAGGAAGCAGCTAAGGAACACCTTGACATTTTTTTTAATGTGATTAAAGAGGGAGGCTTTGTTTCTCAGCAGGTATTCAACTGTGATGAAACTGGACTTTTTTGGGAAAAAAATGCCTCGCCGTACATACATTACCAGGGAGGAAACTTCTGTCCCTGGCCATAAGCCATTGAAAGACAGGCTTACCCTCCTTCTTTGTGCTAATGCTTCTGGTGACTGCAAAATAAAGCCACTCCTTGTGTACCATGCAGAGAACCCCAGAGCTTTCAAAAACATTAGGAAGACCCGCCTTGGTGTTATGTGCCGGTCAAACCCAAAGGCTTGGGTGACCAGGAGTTTATTCTCTGAGTGGGTGATTGAGGTGTTTGGACCCAGTGTTCGGGAATACCTCAGGGAGAATAATCTTCCACTGTAAGCTTTGTTGGTGATGGACAATGCACCAGCCCACCCTCCTAATTTGATGGTTGAATTGCCAGAGGAGTTCAACTTCATCACTGTGCACTTCTTGCCACCCAACACAACACCTCTCATCCAGCCCATGGATCAACAGGTAATTTCTAACTTTAAGAAACTGTACACAAAGGCACTGTTTAGAAAATGTTTTGCGTCCACTACAACAGTGTCCACTATAAAAACAGTGAAATTGCAGTGTTTTTAAAATCGTTTTCCATGAAAAGTTGACCACTGGTCAGTCATCAATAATTACCTTTTTGATTAATTCCCACCCGAATATGAGGTGAGGAAGAATGAGTTTGTGTGAGGGAAGGTGAAAGAGTATGTCTGAGGAAAGGAGAGAGAGAGTATATGTGAGGAAAGTTGAGAAAGAGATTATTTATGTCCACCCCCTACCCCGTCACCACCTCAATACAACCACTCCAGTACGAATAAAAACACAGTTTGTTTAATTCCAGGTCACGATACCCGTCCATCATCGCCCTGTCGTCCGAGTTTGTGTCGTTGGTTGAACAGGAGATTCCCGAAGGCTGTCAATCTCTCTCCGATTCTCTTGCTAAAAGAGAGAAAGTCGCGGCTTATTGTATCGAGAACTTTGCCAAGGTGAGTTGATGTGGGTTTGTTAAATAGGGGTCTCGCAGCTAACAGACCCTCAATATAATGGACTTTTAACTTTGCTGGGGTGAATTAATTTGTGTTTAGTTTGTTAAATGGGATCTTACAGCTAACAGATCGTCTGTAGTAAAAGCCAAGTTCTAAAAGATGAGACTTTACTTAACAAAAACCATCACCTGCAACAAAGAAAAAAATATTTATATATCCATAACCCATCAAACTCAATAATTTATCAGTTACAGGAAACATCACTAAAATGAAATTACCGGTAACATTAAAATGATACATGTAACCCATTAAGAAAATCATCATATGTATATATTGGTATATTTTATATATGTATATACTGGTATATTTTATATATGTGTATACTGGTATATTTTATATATGTATACAGTATACTGTACAGTAATACCCCGATTTACGCGGTCAATTGAACCCGCAGAGTAGCGCGTAAAACGAGAAACGCGTATATGAAATAACAGAACATATGAGATTACAGGCATCCCCGCATTACGGAAGCCCGGGTTACGGAATTTCACTCTTACGGAATTTGTAAATTTTGACCAATAATTTCGCTTTACGGCCCGTAAATCCGCCCTTACGGAAATTGGGGTAAATTTTAACAAACACAAGGCCTCACACATGCCATTCAGACTGACAGACTTGACAAGTTTTACCAACCATAAAGACAGTTGAAGCTTTAAACATCACTCACAATGGATTTTGAATATTCCAACTGTAATCAGACATACGTAAGTTGCCTCAACAATTGCAACCCCAGTTGCAATATCAAATTCTGTGTCACCACTAAAAAATAAAACAGTAGTCCCTGGTGCACTCTTAAGATTAAGAGAAAACGGACGTCTCAGGCGGCCTTGAAGTGAGAGAAAACGGACTCCTATGACGGGGCACTCAAATAAACATACACATAGATGTATAATGCAATATTATGCAATATTAACCCCTAAATTGGTGTTTTAAGAAGGTATATCATAAATTATTTAATGTACTGTATTGTATGTGTTTATAAATGTTTATTTTCATTAATAAAAGTGCTTGAATTACTTTTTTGGGGCCGAAAAAATTCCTTAGGAACGCATCTCCAGTTTTATAATGGAAGTCTATGGGAAAATAGGTTTTCTCGTTACGGAATTTCGCGATACGGTCAATTTTCCGGGAACGGAACCCTTCCGTAACGCGGAGGATGCCTGTAATTGAAATAGAGACTGGGCCGACTCCCAAACTCCACTTTTTCCAACACAATACAGACACAATAAATAAATACCTCAGATTAAAGTTAGGATAATATAATTGACATTGCTGGATTCCGTGCAAGACCAGGAATATTTTGAATACAAACGTCATATATTTTGCACAAAAGATAAAATGTTGGCTCTTTGTAATCAAAATTCTTACATTAGATCTAAAATTTGTATGTCTAATGCAAATTCCATGTTGATAATATTTAAAATAATTACAATCTTATAAGAATTCCAGCAATGCAAATTATATTCTGGCCGGGTAATTTGTATGAATTTTATGAGCTAAAACAAAAATCTTCAGTAAATAAACAAATTATACTTGACCCAGACACTATCTGTCAATCAAAATACCCCACCTCTGCTCCCCCCCTCTTCCCACGCTGGGTCCCTCCCTCCCTCCCTCCCTCCCTACCCCCCACCTTCCCTTCCTACCAGAGAAATGTTTGGGTGAAAACATTAGGCGAGCCAGCAGCCTGGAGGCTATTGGTTCACCTCTACACCCGTGGGAACATCCAAGTTGGTTGTGTACAACAGCGTCAGAGAATTAAAGCAGCCTCACAGTAAGAAAGGAATGTTCTATAATCAGCACCAGTGTCTTAAGGCTTATTAAGGCATCATGTATTGGTCAATACAAAAGTTTTACCAAGTTAATGGCTTACAATCCAATATAATATTTATGATTTTTCACTTTTAATAACACACATAAATGAATAGCTTCATACAAAACGAAACTTAACGTAACGTCCGTAACGTAATATGTAACGAAATATAACATAACCTGCTTTAGGTATATATAATTTGAATATATTATGTGTTACGAGTTGGGGATTTAGAATATAGTTAAAAGTCTACCCAGATCCCAACAGGCAACAAAAAAACAAAAACAAAGACAATCGGACTATAAAAGGGTAGACAAAGGGTGCGAGTTTTTGTTGTGTATAATAAAGTACCATAAATTCCTTAACAAAATATTCAGCTTTCTATAATTTACCCTTAACCATACTTAACCTAAACATTAACAGTATATACATATTTATACAACATACAATAATTTGAAGCAAGTGGACGTGGGGGAGGCAATATAAGATTACAAATACTTAAGTGCGGAGCTGAGATGGCTGACGAGTAAGGCTGAGTATTGTAGAAGACGGTAGGTAGTCACTGTGCCGTAGGTTTCCAGGATAGGTGATCCTGTGGTCACTTCCCAGAGTGAACTCAGCTCTCCTCGAACTGGAGCTGACAAAGAAGACTTTGAGGAGGTGACGCAACAACCAGGATATGGAGAAGGGAAACCCGGGAGTGGTAACTAAGACTAGTCATACTCGTGTTTCGTCCCTAGATGGCGTTGCTCGTGGTGCTGGGTAGGTAGATCAGGACAATAGATGGCGTGGTTCGTAGTGCTGGGTAGGTAGATCATGACAATTGGTGGCGTGGTTCGTAACACACCCCCCCTCCAAAGACCTCCATAGCGCGGGGCGAAGGAGGTGATCACCTGGTGCGTCTGGAGAGTAGCTGCTGCATTTCCACTGGAGCTCGGGATAAGGAGTCCGCAATCAGGTTGTCCACCCCCTTTATGTGCCGGACTTGTAGATTATAGGGCTGGGTGAGGAGAGCCCAGCGGAGGATTCGCTGGTTGGAGGTCTTGTTGGTTTGGATGAACGTGAGTGGGTTATGGTCGGTGAAGACTAGGGTTGTTTGTGGGCAAGACTGGAGGTAACATTCAAACTTTTTATTGCCAACACGAGAGCCAGGGCCTCCTTCTATATGGTCGAGTAGTTGGTCTGATGTTTTTTCAACTTGGCGGAGTAGTATGCCACAGGGTGAAGGACATCAGTGGTTGGGTCGGGTTGTAGGAGCACAGCCCCCACTCCGACACCGCTAGCGTCGATCTGCAGATGGAAGGGCAAGGTGTAGTCAGGGGGGTGGACTACAGGCTTGGGGGCAAGGAAGGCTTTGAGGCGGTGGAAAGACTGGTCGGTGCGCTGGAGAAGTTACTGCAGAACCGACGGTAGTAACCGCACATCCCCAGGAAGTGCATGAGTTCCTTCCTCGTCCTTGGAGTGGGGAAGGACAAGATGGCTTTAACGTTTGCGTCCTTGGGTCTCACCATACCATGCCCAACGATATGTCCCAGGTAAGTCACTGAGGCCCGGCCAAAAGCAGATTTAGCCAGGTTTATGGTGAATCCAGTCTCTTGCAGTCGTGCGAACAGTATCTCCAAACGCACCAGATGTTCGCCCCAGCCGTCCGACACCACCACCAGGTCATCCAGGTAGGCGAACGTCCCACCTAGGTCCTGAATTAGGTAATTGATGGCCCTCTGGAATGTGGCCAGAGCATTAGAAAAGCCAAATGCCATAACCAATTATTGAAAAAGACCAAATGGAGTTATAAATGCCGAGATTATTTTTGCCCTATCCGTGAGCCCCACTTGATAATATCCTTTCAATAAGTCCACCGTACTGATAAATTTGGCACAGCCTATGCTGTCTATTATATCTTCAATCAAAGGTAAAGGGTAGGAGTCTAAGACAGTGACCTGGTTCACTTTACGATAATCGGTACAGAAACGAAAAGTGCCATCGGGTTTTGGAATGAGAAGGCAAGGTGAAGCCCAGGGGGAGGTACTAATGCTCAGCTAAGTTATGTTTTAACAAAAAATCTACCTCCTTTTTCATAATCTCTCTTTTTTGTGGATTTAGTCGATATGCTGATTGCCTAATGGGTTGTACATCATCCGAGATTAGCTTAATATCATGTTTAAGTATATTGCAAAACCCTGGGAGGTCTGACGTGACTTTAGGAAATGTTGATAATAACTTAGTGAGATCTTTTGCTCGAGATGGATTCAGAACAGAAAAATACTCATCCAGGTTGTTGAGTATGTGACTGTTAGCAGGGTTTTCTTTAGGTAGAGGGAAGTCTAAATTCTCCAATAGGTCCATGTCATCTGTCTCCGGCTCCAGCCCTGACAAAACCGTATGCAATACAGGTTGGCTTATAGCCTCTGGGATGTCTTCCTCTGACTGCCTGGAATGGTAAAGTTTCATGAGATTAATGTGAACAAGTTGTGAATCTTTTCTGCGATCAGGAGTATGGACTATATAGTTGAGAGGAGATAGTTTATTAGCATTGATTTGAAAGTTTTCATGGAACCGTTCCAAGCACCCTTGGGACGGTGGGTGGTAAGCCGAAGATGTACAATGGTCCACACTGAGGTCTTTCATCGCCTGTTTGAACAAAGATGGATCAGATTGTAGGGCTTTAATGAGCTCATCCTTACTAATGGTCTTATAGTACAGATCTTCTGTGGGTAGGAAGATATTGGAGGTGGTTTTAGATGAAGAGGGCCCATTTCGCTAACTCTGTGACCGGGTGACAACACAAGATGGGAAAAGGTGAGGAATAGTTTCTTCAAGGTCAGTGGTGGAGTTGACAGGTAAGGGAGAGTCGACTGTCTTTATGTTGGGAACCACTAGATCTCCTATCAAGTCATTACCCAATAATAAATGAATGCCGCTCACAGGCATTGGATCTTTCCTAATGGCTATTTGCACTTCCCCAGTAATCAAGGGACATTGGAGGTGCACTTTAGCTAAGGGATAGGAAGAATGGGATGAGAGATCTGAAATTAGAACACTCTCGTTAGTAAATGCGGTAGATATATCAGGAATGACGTTAAAGAGGAGGATAGATTGTGCTGCGCCCGTATCACATAGTATGCGAATAGGGAAAGAACGAGACCCCTCTATGATTGAAATTTTTCCCTCATAGGTGAATGAAGAGAATAGATCCTGATGGGGCCTTTCCACATTGGTGGTTGCTATTGGTTTGAATTTGGGATCCAGGGAACTACTTTTAGCAATTCGACACTTAGGGTGTTTACAAGACTGGATCGTATGGCCTGGGTTTTTACAGTAAGAACAAGTAAACTTGGTTGCATCAGGGGGGTTAGGTGTGGGACCTTTCGACCTACCACTCACGCCCCCAAGGTTATCATCAGAGGAGGACCTAACATGCCGGGAAGTACCACGTTCCCTACGGCACAGTGACTCCACCAGCAAGGCGTACGCATCAGCCAGCTCAGCAGCACGCCCTAAATTAACCTCTCCACGCTCCTCCACATGCTTCAAGATGTGAAATGGAATCTTGCTCTTCCACTCCTCCAGGACTACCAAGTTTAACAATTCCTGAGGTGGCCATTAAGAAAACCTAGATAAATTAATCAATGGTCAAAAGATAAGATAAGTGGATACCCTAGAAAATGTCACGGCAGTGGATAACCAGAAAGTTCCGGAAACTACCCAAGTTATACCTAGGGAAAATACACTTATGAATATTGTTCTTCTGATAAGATCCTTAGATAAGGATAAGAGACTTGAAAGAGGAAGGGCGTATTACGGCATTAATATAAAGATCCGGATTAACAACCCTGAGATACTTGAAACAGGAAGGGCGTATTACGGCATTAATATAAGGATCCGGATTAACAACCCTTAGATACTTGAAACAGGAAGGGCGTATTACGGCATTTATATAAAGATCCGGATTAACAACCCTGAGATACTTGAAACAGGAATGGCGTATTACGGCATTAATATAAAGATCCGGATTAACAACCCTGTGATACTTGAAACAGGAAGGGCGTATTACGGCATTAATATAAAGATCCAGATTAACAACCCTGAGTAAACAGGAAGGGCGTATTACGGCATTTATATAAAGATCCGTATTAACAACCCTTGAGTTTGGTATGATTGACCCCGAATGAGATAATGAGAAGAACAATAATGGAGGCTTTATAATTATGGGGTCCTGGTAGAGCGAGGCGTCCCAAGATATCACTTCACCCTAAACTAGGGACTATGGAACAGCCTACTCTGGAGTGAGGGTACGGCATTAAACAGATCCGGATTCTTCCCTACACTCGATAAGACCTACTACACGACTGCCACGTGTAATAACAGGTAAGCCTTATGACACTTGGAACCTAATATCCTACGTCTGTCACTCTTACTGTACGGTAATACCAATATATGCACACATATGAAGGAAACTTTAAACCACCGTAAAGCAATTGTGAACAGAAGTAACTGGGAGGAATAATTAACACTGAGTAACAAGGGGGGAAGGAATATGGCACTTAATGTTGTGTCCTGTCACGGTCGCCATTTGTTACGAGTTGGGGATTTAGAATATAGTTAAAAGTCTACCCAGATCCCAACAGGCAACAACAAAAAAAAAAAAGACAATTGGACTATAAAAGGGTAGACAAAGGATGGGAGTTTTTGTTGTGTATAATAAAGTACCATAAATTCCTTAACAAAATATTCAGCTTTCTATAATTTACCCTTAACCATACTTAACCTAAACATTAACAGTATATACATATTTATACAACATACAATAATTTGAAGCAAGTGGACGTGGGGGAGGCAATATAAAATTACAAATACTTAAGTGCGGAGCTGAGATGGCTGACGAGTAAGGCTGAGTATTGTAGAAGACGGTAGGTAGTCACTGTGCCGTAGGTTTCCAGGATAGGTGATCCTGTGGTCACTTCCCAGAGTGAACTCAGCTCTCCTCGAACTGGAGCTGACAAAGAAGACTTTGAGGAGGTGACACAACAACCAGGATATGGAGAAGGGAAACCCGGGAGTGGTAACTAAGACTAGTCATACTCGTGTTTCGTCCCTAGATGGCGTTGCTCGTGGTGCTGGGTAGGTAGATCAGGACAATAGATGGCGTGGTTCGTAGATCTGGGTAGGTAGATCATGACAATTGGTGGCGTGGTTCGTAACATATGAAACATCATTTTTTTTCATGTGTAAATTAATTAATATTGTCATAACAATGGAAAAAAGATTATCCCATTATCCCTATTTGGCGGTCACACACGCGCACACACACACACACACACACACACACACACACACACACACACACACACAAACACACGGGTGGCTGAGAAACAAGAACTGAAGAAACAGGAGGAAGGGAATAGGAGAGAAGGTGGTGTGTGGTAGAAATGTCCTGTCATGACGTGTTTAAATTTTTGGACAACACATGAATATAACTTGCCAAGGGGGCAAGGTAATGATGTGATACACAGCAGTGGTTCATCTTATTCTATGGCCAGCAAGGAAATAATTAGAGAGTTTCATGAAGTGACTCACACAGAAACACATGAAAAAATTTTTATACTGTTTTAAAAGTATTGTCTAATAAAGTTAATAAATTCTTGTAATTAGTTGTTAATAATGTCTCTATACAAAAGCCTATGTGATACATAGGCTCTATAAGACATGAGATATATCAAAGAGAAGCACCATCATCACACTCACCACATACAGAAGCACCATCATCACACTCACCACACAGTGAAGCACCATCATCACACTTGCCACACAGAGAAGCACCATCATCACACTCAACACACAGAGAAGCACCATCATCACACTCACCACACAGAGAAGCACCAGCATCACAAACACCAGCATCACAAACACCAGCATCACAAACACCATCGCATTAATCACCACACTGATTGTGATATTACTCCTAACATCAGTTTTAAAGGACAAATTAGTTGTGTGTAATGCTGAAATGGTAATGAACAACCGACTAAAAAGAGGATTTTCTTACACCTACATCGTTAACATGATCAGTATCATTTTTAATACCAATATCATTAACATCAAATATTCTTATGGAGACTTACTGGCTACCCTGGCTCTGTCTGCGGTGCCCATCTGGAACTTTGCTGCATACTTTTATTGAACTATTGCCTCGCCTGTATACTTTTGTTGAACTATCACCTCGCCTGTTCAACCTGTGTCTGGCCACGGGGCCATCGCAGTGAGCCGCCAACCAGAAACACCACCCTAGCCTCACCTCCCGCTCAACCTAGCGGGTCAGAGATTATGGTTTCTGACTGTACATACTGCTATATTATATATATATATGTATATCATTGCCAGAATATTCACTTAATAGTTGTAAATTAATGGTGTGTCCTTCCTGTGCATTCCAGGCAATCGTGAGGATTGAATCAACTACCATGGTCATCATGAGTGTTTTCTCAACAACAAATATAACCTGCCAGAGACCCCAGGCTGATATAACCTGCCAAGGACTACCCCAGGCTGATATAACCTGCTAGACACTACCCCAGGCTTATATAACCTGCCAGAGACTACCCCAGGCTTATATAACCTGCCAGAGACTACCCCAGGCTTATATAGCCTGCCAGGGACTACCCCAGGCTGATATAACCTGCCAGAGACTACCCCAGGCTTATATAACCTGCCAGGGACTACCCCAGGCCGATATAACCTGCCAGAGAATACCCTATGCTGATATAACCTGCCAGAGACTGCCCCAGGTTGATATAACCTGCCAGAGATTACCTCAGGTTGATATAACCTGCCACAGACTACCCCAGGCACACAGACTACCAACTTGTTCAGAAAAAGGTGAGAATTTAGTCATATGTGTAGTTATGATGTTGAGGGATAACATTTGTACTATTAGTCAAGTAAATTTTCCATAAGAAGAGCTGTAGATCACTTGACTTAACCTCTTGAGTACAGTGGTCCCTCGGTTAACGAACACAATTCGTTCCAGAAGGTCGTTCGTTAACCGAAACCATTGTTTCAATGGGATTTTGGGTAATTGGTTCCAGCTCACCAAAAATTACATACAAACTTAAAATAAATGCAATAAAGTACACTTACTTTGAGGTGTGCATGTAGACGGCTCCTGGTTGATGATGATGATGATGGGAAATAGAAGTGGGGGTGGAGGAGAAGGGAGAAGAGAAGACAGTGGGGGTGGAAGAGAAGTCACCCCATGCTTCATGCTGCCATTTCACCCATAAAATTTTAAGTTCACTTGGTGTAATTCAAGATTATTTTCTTTAAATCAAAACTGCACTGCACTATATATTGTCAATATGTAAAATAAATTTCAGAATGATCAATAATTGTACTGTAAAAATGTAAAAATAGTTTATGTTCAAGCGAGTCTCATGCAAGATGCTACCTCCACTGAGCAGAGACACAAACTGACGCCATTCTGGGTGAGTCAAGTGGCTGTTTGGCGCGCTAAAAACTAGTTCCCTGTATTTCAATTATGTTAAATAATTGTTAAAATGACTAAAATTTTTAATATAAGACTTGAAAATTTTTTGAATAGTACAACCTTCTTGATATTTACTCAAATGGTAACGAATTTAAGCCCTAAAACCGATTACTGTATTGGCAGACTAATACTCCAGCTGGTGAGCAGGCGAAAACATGTTGACACGATTTCGTAAGGATTTCGTTAACCGAATTTTTGTTCGTTAATCGAGTTGAAGATTCTTATGGAAGGTAATTCGTTAACTGAAATTTCGTTAACCGAGGGATCACTGTACAATTACCTTTGGCCCGACCCGACACCAGACACTGTAGCAAGAGAGACCGCACCACCTCCCCACCTGACACTATACAGTAATGGAGCTATAGATTCTTAGAAAACCCGAGATGTATTTGAATTAGGAGAGTCTAAACAACTCTCATTGTGTACATAATGAATACAGTACCATTTTTTCCCCATAGATTCTACTGCTATTAAGATCATCAGGTGCACCATGCTAAATACTGATAGTCACCAAAATGTTGAATGTTGTCCAGTCTTTGTTCACTAAGATGTATCTAAGACCAATTGGCCCACTGGCTCACCGACCCATCGGCAATATGCCCGAACTCCCAATAGACCTGTCCGTCACTGGGTGACGATGTGTCATAAACCCTGATTAGCTGTAATTAAACCTTTGTACAGTGGTCCCTTGGTTAACGAACGCCTCGCTTAACGAAATTTCGGTTAACGAATTACCTTCCATAAGAATCTTCAATTCAGTTAACGAAAAAAAATTTGATTAACGAAATCCTTACGAAAATCACATTTTGTTTTGAACATCAGCTGATAAGCTGAGGAGGTACTCAGCCAATTCAGTGGTCTCTTCTATGTTTACATTCAAACTAATCATTATCTTATAAGAATTCCAGCAATGCAAATTAAATTCACCCCAGTCACTTCTAATAAATCTTATAAGCAAAAAACAAAAACTTAATCTAAAAGAAAAAAAACTAATAATTAAATACTTTACACCACAGGTGCCAACTGTCAAACATGTCACTGTCACCCCTCCCTCCCTACCCCCCACCTCCCTGAGAAACGTTTGGGTAAAAGGACTAGGTTTACAGGTTTAAAAATAAATAATACCTCAGACTAAAGTTAGGATAATATAATTTGCATTGCTGAAATCCTTGCAAGACAGCAAATATTTTGAATATAAACTTCATATATTTTGCACAAAAGATAAAAATTTTGCTCTCCCTAATAAAATTCTTAAATTAGATCTAAAATTTGTATGTCTACTGCAAATTTTAGCTTGTTTATATTCAAATTAATCACTATCTTATAAGAATTCCAGCAATGGAAATTATATTGTGGCCGGGTAATTTCTATGGATTTTATAAGCTAAAAACAAAAATCTCAAATAAATAAACAAACACCAGACACTCTGTCACCTCACCTCCCGCTCTCCCCCTGCTCTCCCCCTCTTCCCATGCTCACTGGCTCCCTCCCTCCTTGCTGTTTCCAGACAAAAGATTGGTGATTTCTTTATGCTTTAAATTGTTTATTTTATATAATATCTCAGACTAAAGTTAGGATAATATAATTTACATTGCTGAAATCCTTGCAAGACAGGGAATATTTTGAATATAAACATCAAATATTTTGCACAAAAGATAAAAGTTTTGCTCTCCCTAATAAAATTCTTAAATTAGATCTAAAATTTTTATGTCTACTGCAAATTTTAGCTTGTTTATATTCAAATTAATCACTATCTTATAAGAATTCCAGCAATGTAAATTATATTCTGGCTTTACTTTGTATATACTTTTCTGTGAGCTGGAATCAATTATCCAATATCCCATTGCAACAATGGTTTTGGTTAACAAAATTTTCGATTAACGAACGACCTTCCGGAACGAATTGTGTTCGTTAACCGAGGGACCACTTTAATTACTTTTAGAATATTTTCATTTTACACAAGTTGATTTAGTCACTTGTAGTTTTCATTTTTAAATTTTACTTTTTACAAGAAAATTATCTAAGTCAAAAATATTTTGTTTCAGATACTGTGACGTCACATCTCAAGACAGGTAACTAAATAGAAGTTCACAATGTCAAGCAGAGATAAAAAATTCTCCTCTGAGGAATGTGGCAAACAGTTTTGCTTAAAGTCTACTCTTCAGACACAGTTACTTGTACACAATGATGTGAAGGAGTTTAAATGTGAGGAATGTGGGAAACATTTTTCTCAGAACAGTCATCTCAAGAGACACATTCTAGGACACAGTGGTATAAAGGAGTTTGAATGTGAGGAATGTGGGACACATTTTTCTCAGAGCAGTCATCTCAAGAGACACATTCTAGGGCACAGTGGTGTAAAGGAGTTTGAATGTGAGGGATGTGGGAAACATTTTTCTCGGAAGAGTCATCTCAAGACACACATTCTTGGACACCGTGGTGTAAAGGAGTTTGAATGTGAGGAATGTGGGAAACATTTTTCTAAGAAGGGTACTCTCAAAAGACACATTCTTGGACACAGTGGTATAAAGGAGTTTGAATGTGAGGAATGTGGACAATGTTTCTCCCGGAAGAGCACTCTCCAGACACACATTCTTGAACACAGTGGTATAAAAAAGTTTGAATGTGAGGAATGTGGGAAACATTTTGCTCTAAAGGGTAATCTCAAGACTCACATTCTTGTGCACAGTGGTATAAAGGAGTTTGAATGTGAGGAATGTGGGAAACATTTTGCACAAAAGGGTACTCTCAAATCACACATTCTTGTACACAGTGGTGTAAAAAAGTTTGAATGTGAGGAATGTGGAAAATGTTTCTCCCAGAAGAGTAATCTCAAACATCATAAACTTGTGCATGAAAAAAACAGAATTCAGTAAATGTTTGAATGACTAACAGAAGATAAATGTGACATAAACTTGAATACAGTGATATACTGTATATCAATATAAAACTACTTAAACGGACTCTATGAATGTAGCAGAAATAAAGACAAGTGACAAATGGCACTTTTATAGATATTAAACTCAAGTTATAATTATCTGCTCTGAAGATGTAAATTTTTTCTACCGTGGCCGTATTGTAGTAGACATTTGGTGTTGGTTAAATATCACTCATAAAAATACTCCATTTTGTTTCATCAGCCTTTTTGATAATGTTATTTACAGTCTCACATCTCCAAAGTTAAAAGGAAATGAAAATGCACATTTGAATTAACTATAGGAAAAAAATGCATTCATAAAAACAATAATGCAAGAAAAAAAGTCAAACAAAGAGACACATAGGAGAAAAAAAAAACCTCAACTAATGTTACACCACATAAACTACACCACGTAGTCAGCCAACCAACAGGATGGCCTGTGGCCTCTCCGGGGCCTGGCCACGCCCGACTGGGGTGGGGCCGGGGGTGCAAGCGAGGGCGCGGGTACGGAGGGCACCGCAGAAGGGGGGCCAGGAGTCATAGTTTGATGCCACCACCGGAGTGGTAGGCACAGGCGTGGCGCCGCTTCACAGGTGGCATCTGTTGCGGATGGACAGCCTGCCATTGCCAATCAACCTGATGACATACTGCCTGTGAGGACGGGCTTTCACAACTATGCATGTCCTGTCCCAGAGCTTGGTAGCTGCATCCTGCAAACGCACGTGCGTGCCCACGGCTAGGGAAGCCAGCTGGCGGAACACCTCCCCCCGTGACAGAAGGACCCCGTCCTGGGCTTTGGCCAAGCGCACCTCCCTCATACTAAGTGCACGCCGCCAGTGCTGGTCCACCTTATAGTGCTGACTGGCCACGGGAACTCCGTCACGGAGCTGGCGACCGGTGGCAAATTGGGCGGGCGACTTGTTCACCCCCGGAGAGGCGTGTTCAGATACTGGTGGAGGGCCTGGGATGTCCTATCGCAGTCCAGGCTACCCCCGGGCCCAGTGTTATCCCTGAGGAGCCTCTTGGCAGCCTTGACCCCAGCCTCTGCCCTGTCATTGGACTGGGGGAAGTGGGCCGACGAGAGGCGCACCTCGACCCCCCATGACTTGAGGAAATCTGTCATCTCAAGGCTGGCAAGGTTTGTACCTCCATCCGTGGAGATCTGCTCAGGTGCCCCTAACCTCGTGGAGTTACCCTGCAGACGGGCAATGATTTTTCCAGAGGTGGCCTCTTTGGGGCAGTGGGCGATCTCCAGCCAACCTGTTAATCGGTCAGCATATGCTAGGTACGTGTGGCCTGCAGGTGGAACAAATCGGCCACCACTTGTCGAAAGGGATAGTCTGGAGCTGGGGGTCAAGACCAACAACTCCGGAGGCTGGGAAGGGGCGTGGGTCTCGCAAACAGCACACCAGGACCGATGATACTGCAGGTCACCCTCCATGCCAGGCCAATAGACAGACTGCCCGGCCCGCCTGAGCATTGAGTCGAGACCCTGGTGCCCCACGTGCAGGTTAACGGCGACACGGTGGCGGAGGAAGTCAGGGATGACGAGGCGCACGCAGCCCTGGCCAAAGGCGTGGCCGGACAGATGGCCGAAGGACATTTGGCCGACGGATGTTTCACCGACGGACATTTGACCAAACGGACATCAAGCCGATGGACATTTGGCCGCATTGACAACAGACCGAACGGACATTTGGCCGAATGGACATATGGCCTTTTTAATTGTTTTTATTTTTATTTCTTCTTTGCAATGTATTTTTTGCACATTTACTAAAGGATAAAATATATTAATTGTGTTGTAATTGTTTTATAAAAATTGCTTCAGTCTTGTGCTTAATATCTGGTAGAAGTCGAAAATAATCAGCATTATTCGGAAACAATCTGCATTATTTTCCCCCAATTTCAATTTAACTAGTGAATTACAAGGACTGAGAGAGGTTTATGTACACATGGTGACCTTACAAAACATGAGGTCAGATCAAAAACATGACATCCGCTAATCCACACACCAACACCACCACAAACACAAAAGAAAGGGCGACGTAACTAGTCATGTTAAGTCAGGTGAAGTTTTTAGCCACGCCCCAAACCAACCAAACTTTAGCCCTGCTTGCCTGGACTCGGATGTAGTCACTCTTCAGAGGTTGTAAAGGTAAGCCAATATTTTTATTGTTGTTGTTATTATTGTTATTATTATTATTATTATTATTATTATTATTATTATTATTATTATTATTACTTAATTTAATATTTGTTTGTTTTAAGACCATGGAATTCATACCAACGACAAGAGGAGGAAGAAGGCTTTTGCTTGACGGCTACGCCTACATCGTTGATAAACGGAAAGACAATGTAATATATTGGCGATGTGAACGCAAAGGAAGTTGTTGGAGACGATTAAAAACAGAAGAGGACGTTATTCAAGGAGAAGCAAGTAATCATTCACGTCCGCCTGATGCCGGACTTAACCTGTCCTTGAAAACAGTAAAGAAAATTAAAGAAAGAGCCAGACAGTCGGAGGAAGTGACATCGACTATTATACAAAATTGCACCAGTGAGTACCCACTTGATGCCGCAGGTGCTCTTCCTAAGAAAGAAACTCTGGCAAGAATCGTGCACAGACAACGCATGGCACCAGACGGGGATTTTTTAACTGACGACTTACGGAAAGCAATTAGAGGAGAAGACTTTGTCATCCATGAAAGTGACAACCTGCTAATTCTGTCAACACCTCGAAACTTACAGCTTCTTGCTTTCAAAGACCACTGGCCAACAACTTCCTTTGCGTTCACTTCTCCATTATATTACATTGTCTTTCTGTTTATCAACGATGTAGGCGTAGCCGTCAAGCAAAGGCCTTCTTCCTCCTCTTGTCGTTGGTATGAATTCCATGGTCTTAAAAGAAACAAATATTTAAAAAAAAATTTATATCATGCAAATGTATCACATTGAAATTATGTTATCTTTTTATCCTTTGTTTTATAAAGCAAATACATTGCAAAGAAGCAATTACATTATAATAAATATCTTTTATCCTTTAGTAAATGTGCACAAAATACATTGCAAAGAAGAAAGAAAAATAAAAAGCAAATTTAAAAAGGACGTGTCCATTCGGCCATTTGTTCGTTCAGTCTATTGTACGTTCAGCCATTTGTCCGTTCGGTCTATTGTCCGTTCGGCTAAATGTCCGTCGGCTCGATGTCCGTTCGGTCAAATGTCCGTCGGCCAAATGTCCTTCAACCATCTGTCCGGGAGCCGGCCAAAGGTGTAGGTGACCA